GCTCGGGACCAAGCCAAACGCCACGACCCTCCCAGGGGTCCTCAGGCCCCGGGTTTAAGCCGAGCCTTCCTCTCGGGCACTCACCCAAGTGAGGCTTTATCAACAGCCATTCGTCTTCCTCGGCGAGATGGAGAGGCCCTGCTATGTTAAAGTAGTTTTATGGACAGACCCCTCCAGTGGTTCTCAACCTGTGGGTCGCGACCCCTTTGGCGGTCGAACGACCCTTTCACAGGGGTCGCCTAAGACCATCCTGCATATCAGATATTTACATGACGATTCATAACAGTAGCAACATTACAGTTATGAAGTAGCAACGAAAATAATTTTATGGTTGGGTCACAACATGAGGAACTGTATTTAAAGGGAGAGAAGGTTGAGAACCACTTAAACTAAATGAGTAAGAGGTGAATACCCGGGCTCGGAGGGCTGATGCTGTCCTTTGTTAAGTCTGTTCTCAGCTGTAAATTCTTCTACAGGAGCCTTTTCTTTTTGGCCTCATCTTAGCGCTTGGTCAGGTGCCTAGGAGGTGGTCAGTGCTTACTGTTTTTTGACGGAATACAGCAGCACTCAGCCCAGCTTTTTGCTGTTTTCTGTGACTTCCCTTCCCCTAACACAGTGGTTCCCAAACTTATTTGGCCTACCGCCCCCTTTCCAGAAAAAATATTACTCAGCGCCCCCTGGAAATTAATTTTTTAAAAATTTTAATAGCAATTAAACAGAAAGATATATGTATTAATGTTTCTACCTTTTTCGTAAAATATAGTAAAGAAAGGTGTAAATTAGAAACATTGAAGTTTGAAATTATGAAACTATTTATTGAACTCAGAATAGAAAGGTAATACAAAAAAAGTTAAAACAAATGCACCTGTGGCCATCACCACCCCCCTGGATCGCTGCAGCGCCCACCAGGGGGCGGTATCGCCCACTTTGGGAATCACTGGCCCAACAGTAAAGGCTCTCGCTGAGTTTTCCCCGCTGATGACACTCTGGAGGCGGAGCACCGCGTTGAACTGGAAATGGCTACCCTGTATCTAAATGGCACTCCTTGAGTAGACACTATAAAGAGCAGTGATAAAACTTTAGGTGTGGCTCATATGGGTTAATCTGCCTTATTTAACTATTGTTGATGTTATAAGGCATGCTGCCACTTCAAAACCCCGTTAACCGATTTGAGCTCTTCAGGGAAATCTCCGAGCAAAAGGGAGACGGCCCTGCCCGGTGGGCGCCGCCCTGATGTCGGGGAGACCCACAGAGGAGTGGACTGGGTTAGGGAGCAAGAGCAGAGGAAGCCTGACACCTTCCTTCCCTAAACACGTTTTCAGCATAAATATGTGAAAAAGCAATGTGAGCCCTGGCCCGGACGGCTCCGTGGGATGAGCATCCTCCCGCGGGCCGAGAAGTCTGGGTTTGGTTCCGGGGGCCCACGCCTGGATGCCGCGTGATCCCCAGGAGGGGGTGCAGGAGGCAGCTGATCACGGTCTCTGTCTCCCTCTCTCTAGAAACAATTAAAAAAAACAGAGAGGAAGGACACTATAAATTAGTGACACTAGAATTACAGGTTATTTTTCTCCTAAGAAATGACGTTTTATTTATTTCAAGTAGCAGTTACTTAGTAAATATCTGTATATGATATTTACCAAATTATGTATATGATGTTAAAGTGATTTTAAGGCTGCTTGAATAATATTTAAACAGGATAAGTTTCCATTCTTTAAAATTTAGTGACCGCTATTAATTTGCTTAGTGACTATTTTTCCATAATCAGAATTGACCTGGAAAATTATTACAAAACTCCAGTAAGGAGGATCTAAATTAGCTATTTTGATTAATACTGACAATAAAAGACTGCCCTGTTTCCTGCCAAAGGCTTATTTTCTAGACCCACTTCACTATGACTACTCAGAGTGCATCTAAAATTCTATTAGAAATTGCTCAACGTACACTCCAGTGAGGTAGATATTTGAATCACATTAGATAAAAGCTTGTGTGACCTAATCTAATACATCATATGCAGTACATGAACACCTTCCGAGCAGGACCAATTCAATGTATGTCAAAGACCGTGAAATCTTATTTGAATAAAATATATCTAAACTAGAGGCCCGTTGCACGAAGAGATTCGTGCAATAGGCCTTCCCGTCCCCTGTCTGCTGGCACTGGTTTTCCTCCGGCACTGGTTTTCCTCCGGCACCTGGGACCCAGGCCTTTGCTCCGGCTGGGGCCTTCAGTCTTCTTCCACCACTTCGCCCCTACGTATGCAAATTAACTGCCATCTTTGTTGGGTTAATTTGCATACTCTGATTGGCTGGTGAGCGTAGCAGAGGGATGGCTAATTTACATGTTTGTCTATTATTAGGTAAGATGTCTCATTGTAAAGGGAAAAAGGGAATAAAATAACCAGTCAGGCTTTATATCAGTTAGACAATTTTACTAAATGAGAAAACTACATTTAAAATGTGCTTTAAAACAAAATGGAATTAGAAAAAAAGACATATGCATTTGAAAGAACGTTGCACTGAGCTGAAAATCAAATCTCTTGCAGTAATACAATACACCAATTCATAAAACGTAAGTTAACAGAATTCTCAATTTAACATTTTTAAAGACAATATTAAGGTCAAGAATTTCACATCTACGGTAGCACACATAAAAGGGCATTATAAATATGATGTCCATCCCTATGAACTTACAAATTTGACAATGCTCAATAAAAGCTTTTAGAATCACATCAAAAGTATCGCACCCAAAAATCACAAATCTGTGTCCTCTAAGTTCTCCTTATAAAATCTTTATGTTCACTTTTCTAGTCTTGCCATTTGTTAATGCTAACCCTTAAAAAGAGAAAGAGAGAAGAGGAAAAGAAATGCTGCAAAAAACCCTTGATCATGTACAGAAATTATTGCTACTATAGTTCACTACAAAGCATGTCTATACAATATCATATGGACTTTGATCATGAAAAATCAGAATAAAACTCTTTAGTGACATAAGCCTTACAATCGTATACAACATTCACATGGCATTAATAGACTGTTAAGCACCCAATACCCATAGTTGACAAAATGTCCCACTGACCAGCATTCATTTAAATATGTCCTTCGTACAGAGAAAGGGAGAGATAGTGTCAGCTTTCCAAGGCTTGTCAAAAAAGGATTCCCATGTTTTATGGATCTAAACACAAAAAAACGACAACAAAAACCCAAAAAACAAAATCGATGCAGGTGAGAGTGTTTCCAGAAAGTTAAGCATGCCAAAAGGTGTTTCGTGCAAATTAAAACCTAAAACAAAGGTACCACATAATCACATTACCAACTAGGTGGGTAATACTATGAACTTTACCTTAAAGTTAAATGAAATGCTACTGCACAATACAGCATCAATCAGTTAAAAATTAGAGTGCACAAATCCATATCTGTGGCAATTTCTGTATGAAGCAAAATATTCACTATCAGCTGTAAAGTTTGCCCAGTCAAACTGTTGATTAAATCACTGGATTGGACAGTTTGCATACTTTTAAAATATCAACCTCTAAAATTCCTTTTCACAGCAACGAAGCATAAGTTTTCTTAGTAAGATTAAACAGGTACATAAGTAAATAAGCAAGAGAAAATAATAGTTGGTGAATGTCTTTAGAGCTCGTCCCACATTTCATTTTTAAAAATGTTCAGGGGAAAAAATTTAAAATATTTGCCATTATTCTAGCAAAAACAAACAAACAAAACAAAACAAGCCCAAAATAATTAAACAACCAAGCAACACTAAAATCACATTACACAGATGGATCATCATGCTTTCATCTGATTTAACGATCACATCTAGTTTAATTGGGATGCTTTTCAACTTTAAAAACTGTGATAAGTGAAGATGTAACTTTAATGGGTAATTTTGAATTTGGTTTTAACTTTGTTGAATATTTTAACAGAGTATACTTATTACAATACAGTGTAGCACATCTTTCTATTAGAAAAAAATTTAAGATCCTTTACCCGTCTCCTTAAGTTAAAGGTGTGACATCATAAAGGGTGTCAAATGGCTGGATGGTTTTACAGTGCACACTTATATATTATGAAGTATGTCCTTAACAAATCTGATGGTTTCTTTCCACAGTTCCTTTCTTCACCTTTTCTTCGGTGGATTAGCTGTTCGTGGTGGAGTGACCGGACGTCCTGAATTCAGTCCACCATACTGGTACTTAGCTTTCTTTTCAGATGGTTTCAATATCTTAAAGTAAACAATTTATTAACAATGTTATTCTTTCAAGTGCAATAAGTTTAAGAAAGTTACTGTTACAACAGTGGGTATTTTTTCTTCTTCTTCAATAAATGGCAGAAATTGTAAAGTGCAATAAAAATGTAGAAAAAACAGCAAATTTCCACAAATATTTCTCACATTTTAAAGAGTTTGCAAACATCTGAATAGTGCAATTATGTAATTCCATCGATAATTTACTAACAAAAGCATGCGTATACGAACCTATCAACTACCATTCCTTGGATTTAAGCAAAAAAATTTTTTCAAATTGGTTTATCTCTGTGGTGAGGAAAATACTCTGGCTTTAAGAAAAGACCTAGGTTCTCACCATAATTCTGCCACTATTTAGAGGGTAACTAGTCACAAACTCTTCACACCTTAATTTTTTTATGTGTTAACAGATCTTTTCATTTAAAAAACAGCTTTGAGGAGGCATCTTGCTCCCCAGCATATGCCATCAGTTTGTCTCAAATAAACTCATAAAAATTCTAAAAATAAAACATCGTAAAACAAACCAGCTTTGTTTTTGTATACAGTGGGTCCTTGGGTTACGTCGGAGATTCTGTTCAAATGGCGCGACATAAAGCGATTTTCGCCGTAAGTCGGAACCCACCTACATAAAGCACCTACGTCACTCACATGGAGCACATACAAAGCAGTAATGAAGTGAAACAGTAGAACAAATTTTTGACCTTTACTTGTGGTAAATACAGTAAATAATAAAAAACATGAAGCACATATGTACATACATCAAAATGACGGAACTTTTTTTTATATAAATAAATGGGAGATGGCAACGTAACCACGAAACGACCTACGTCAAGTCCGACATAACCCGAGGACTGCCTGTATTACATATCATAAAGTTCACCCATTTAAAATATACAAGTCAATGCTTTTTAGTATATGTATTTACAGAGTTGTAGAGCAACGGCTATAATCTAATTTTGTCACCCCAAAAGAAACCTTGTTCCCATCCCTTTTTCACTCCCCTACTCCTCCTCCCCCCTTTAACTCTAAGCAACCACTAATTGACTTTCTCTATTGATTTGTCGTTTCTGGCTCTTTCATATAAATGGAACCTGGTATTTTGTGACTGGTTTCTTTGTTTTTAAGATTTATGTATGTTACAGCATGTATCAGTATTTCATTACCTTTAATTATCAAACAATATGCCATTTTGTTTATTCACTATTTAGCTGATTGACATTTGGGTCATTTTCAACCTTTTGGCTACTATAAATAGTGTTCCTATGCATATGCATATGCATGTAATTGATTACCTATTTTTAATTCTTTTGGGTGTATACCTAGGATTAGAATTGCTGGGTCACACAGAAACTCCATGTTTACTGCACCATTTTACATTTTCACTATCAATGTACATTTTTACTATAGATGTATGAAAGTTCCAATTTCTCTACATCCTCACCAATACTTGTTATTGTCTTATTAAAATTGTATTCATTCTGGTGGATGTAAATAGAGCTTTAAGCTCATTATAAATAGAAAATTTCAATATTTGTACAAAAATGCATACAAAAGGCTTATGAAATATTTCTTAGAACTATTCAGAGCATCATAGTGCCTCACTGAAAAATAATATATTACTTCAACTCCACTATGGTGACTGTTGAAGGATATGGCCTGATTACTACCCTTAAATTATAAGTGATAAGCCAAACATTTACACTTAATTATACTAAGTGTAAATTACACAAACAGTGTAATACAAAAAGAAAGAGGGATGGTCTACATTTAAAAAGTGTATGTATGTTCGGGGATATAAAATAACTTATGCAAAAACAAAGTATCAAAGTTGTTTTGGTCTATGAACAAGAATGATTTTAAATAGCACATTAAAGTTCATCACTTTTAAAATATAAATGTTTCTATATTTATAAATGGGTACTTTAAGATTATCTGGAAAGCTTTTTCTTAGGTAAATATTCTATGTTATTTTCATCTGAGTTTATAAACTCCCAGCCTTTAAAACCCTCAATACTAAGGACCCTGCACTCGCCTGTGCCTTTCCCTTCCCTCAGCTTCCCCGCCCCAGGCACATTACCTTTGCCTTTCTCTCTCCTAAGCTCAATGGGCCCTTCTTTGGCTTCTATTGTTTCCTGAGCCTATCTAGCCCAGCTGGCTCATCTCTACTACCTCTGTAACTTTCTAATTAAACTTTCTCTTCAAAATTTTTTGGGAAAAAAAGGACTAATATAACTTAGGTTCCCTAAAAAACAGAAATCGCTACCGAGCCTATGCTGAGATTCACTTTTTAATAAAACCGATTTTCTACACTGGCTCAAGAAAAGTACACCAGTCTAAAAGAACATTTCTCCTGACAGTATTTTTATTAATTATATTTCCAGTTGTTATAAATTAGTTGTTATAAATTTATATTATACCTGAAATGAACACATCAAAGTTTCATCCACACTCATCATTCCACCAGCATTATCAAATTCACCACAGTAATTTGGGGCTGAAAATAGGGTCACCAATTGTCGTTTAGCAAAAAATTCATATCCATCTTCCACCACCTGTCAAAGAAAATGTCAAAGAAAAAAATATGTAATTCTCAACCATCTAAACTCACTGAGATTAATGTAACAAAGACCTAAAAGAAAGTAAACCCTGTTTGTTTTGAAAGCTTGATTTTTATTCTTAAACTGCCTTAGAATATTTAAATTAGTTTGCTTTTTCTATAATGGTAAAGATTTAGCTTACATGAAATCATAATAAATTAATGACTATTAAGAAGTTTAGAAATCATGCCATTTCCAGGGCTCTCCATATGCTAATATGTAGTGTCTGCAGAGAGCTGAGACCCTAAGCACTTCTTAGATGATGGCATTATAATCCAACTATAGAATCCTTAATTCAGTGAACAATAACCAGACAAGGAAAAACAGATTATCACAACGTTTTTCTTGCTCCACTTTTAAATTTTATGTTAGTATTATGTAGCTACACATAATGCTCTACTAAATTAAACTTAATTTACACAGATCATACTCCTAAAAAATTAGCTTGTTATAGGTTAAAATTTTCATAATTAAATTTTCTTTAATAACTTAACATGATTTTTAGAATTTATTGTCAATTTCTGAGCGAATTAATTTGTTTCTCAGCTCTACAATTTGAGAGGTAGGTAATGATACCTAAACACTTAATATTTATTTATATTGGGCAAGAATACTGTTTGAAGTCTTTTAGGTACCCTTAATTAAGAAACACTTATCCTACAATACTTGCTAAGATAAGAAAGCACCTCCAAAATAATATATGTTTTAAAATAATTTCTTAGTATCAGGTACATGCTCATGATGTAATTATCTCATGGTAGAATTTAGGTATTAACCTTTTCTGTTAAGACCCTGGCCACCTTTCCTACTACAGGCTCAGCAAGGTACTTGGCACTCAGTACATCCTTTTAGTTCTTAGTTTCCTTGTTCACTTGTTCATTCAATCACATATTTACTGAAAGAACAGGATTGTTCCTACAGAAAATATTTGGAGTTTGTGTTATTCCTCATCACAAGTCTCTTAATATTAGAGATAATATGTGTTGTGCCCTCTTATCTAATGCAAGGCTTAAATGAGAAGCCAGTCACCTGTGTTTATCATGTAGAATCACAAAGAGGTAGAAGTAGTCATGTGTCATGGGTGTAAAGCCCTAAAGAAAAGGGAGGTATTGTGGGACAGCATAAACTTAATAAATTTTGCTTTAACAAAAAATAACAAGGAATCTTTAAAAAACATTATATTTACAAATTTCAAATACTTTTAGTACTTTCAAAAAAGTAGTCCAAAAAGGTTTTTCTGGCCCTAGCTGGTTTGGCTCAGTGGATACATCAGCCTGCAGGGTCGGCCTGCAGGGTCCTGGGTTCGATTCCAGTCAAGGGCACATGCCCGGGTTGCGGGCTTGTCCCCCAGTAGGGGGTATGCAGGAGGCAGCTGATCAATGATTCTCTCTCATCATTGATGTTTCTATCTCTCTTTCCCCACCCCTTCCTCTCTGAAGTCAATAAAAATATATCAAAAAAATTAAAAAAAAATGCTTCTGAATGTATTTCATATTAGTTATGTTTTAGAAAACATGAAGCTTTGTTATATTGTTATATATTGTTAAAACAAGCTTTTAATTAATTCCTTTATTCAACAAATACTAAAAGCATGGTGTAATGTGTAAGTTTATAAGGCAGTGAATATTGAAAGATCAACAAGTCACAATCCCCTCCTTAAATAGTGTACAATTTAGTGGTAAAGGACATAAAAAAAGTAAACAAATAAATAAACCTAAATTGTATATTCATTTTATAATGAAAATTCAAATATGTACAAAAGTAAAGTTAGTAATTCCCATTTACTAACCACTGATTTAATAATTATCAGCATTTTGCTACATTTTTTTCATTTAGCCCTCCTTTTTTCCTGTGTTTTGTTTTTAAAAAAAATGTATTTTGATTGATTTCAGAGAGGAAGGAAGTGGGAAAGACAGAAACATCAATGATGAGAGAGAATCATTGATCAGCTGCCTTCTGCACGCCCCACATTGGGGATCGAGCCCGCAACCCGGGCATGTGCCCTGACCGGAATTGAACTGTGATTGCCTGGTTCATAGGTCGATGCTCAACCACGGAGCCACACTGGCCAGGCTCTGCTGATGTGTTTTAAAGCAACATTTCTGATATGGACATCCTTCTTATATAACAATGACATATCATCACAGCTAAAGCAATTAACAACTATTACTGGATTTCTAATACCCCGTCTGTAATCAAATTTCCTCAACTTTCTCAAAAATGTCTTTTTATAGCGTAGTTGGCTCTTATCAAAATCCCCACAATTCATTTGGTTATTATCTATAATATGTAGATATCGTATTAAAATGGGATCAAATCTTTCTAGAAAGTTTCAGACAAACACTGAAAAATTTATTAGAATTGCAGAATAACTGCAAAAATATATTATTTTGAAACATTTCCTCTTAAAGTGTAAGAAAGGGTTAACAAATCATTAGACTGTTAATTGTGAATACAAGGTACAGGCTTCACCTCTCAGTTTCCTCAAAAATAAAAGTAGACTTGTGTGAAGTTAATAAATATTAAAATATACAAAAGTTTTATATTTCATACCTGATGAGCTCGACAAATTAAGTCTAAATCATGACGATTTAGAAATTTACTGACTACATCAGCTCCAAAAGTGAAGGAAACACCACGATCATTTTCTCCCCAGCCTTGCACATCCTTATCTGGGTCAGACCATAGCAAATCACAGAGCAAACCTTTAAAGAATAAAAACAGCAATGAATAAAGCAAAACAAAGTTTATAAAGTATACCTTCATCACCTTTCTTCTCCTGTCCCTTTACCTTACCCTTTAATAAACAGTAACAATTTCTTGCCCCTGGTATCCCAGTTTATAAAACTTAGCCATTCTTTATTAAAGCCCCTTACAAATATAATCATCCCTGGTTTCTTAAGGTAGTACTTTCCACCTTTTCCACCTAGAGGATATATGTGTATGGCTCACTCTAAGAATACACACAATATATGGAAAAGGCTGTTCATCTTTTGTATGTGGTTTCTCCATATTGATAACCAAGTAACACACAGCATTTCCTGAATAGTTCATCCTTTCCTTACAGAGCTACCTACATGGTCTATTTCTGGGTGCCACAGTCTACTCCACTGATCAATTTTACTTATCCCTGAGCCAACAACACACTAGAGCTTTTAAATAAATCTATATTTGGTAGGGTTCTATTACTTATTACATAAACCAATTCTGCTTCCACTAAATATAATTCAAATATGCCAATCCTATATAATAAAAGCCTAATATGCTAAGTATCCAGTTGTCTGTTCAACCAATCAAAGCATAATATGCTAATGATATGCTAAGGCCACTCAACGGCTCGCTATGCTGTGCACTGACTACCAGGGGGCAGACGCTCCGACCGGTAGGTTAGCTTGCTGCTGGGGTCCAGCCAATCGGGACTGAGTGAGACTGGCCAGACACACCCTGGAGCCCCCCTGCAGTCCCTCCCTGGTTGGCCAACCTCCCACATCTCCCTAGCCCCTATCATGCACTGGTGGGATCCCTCGGCCTGGCCAGCGCCCTCTCGCAATCCAGGACCCCTCAGGGGATGTCGGAGAGCCAGTTTCAGCCTGATCCCCGCAAGCCAGGCCGAGGGACCCCACTGGTGCACGAATTTGTGCACCGGGCCCTCTACTATTTTACATAAAATGATTAAGCAAACGTCTCTATACATAACCTGTATCAGGAACATCAGTGGGTCTCATAATTCTCCGAATCTGCTCCATAGATTGCAGGTCTGGTGACAGTCCTATAAATAAAAACATGAATCAATAGTACTGACATCTAAAATAATTTCACCCAAACAAAAAAATATTTAATTAAATAGATTCACTATGTGAAATTAAAGACATTTAAAGTGTTCCTTTTAATATTTTGTTATTAAATAGAATCCCATTTTGATACAACAGAACATTATAATTAGCTTCTCCACTTTCTCTACCAGGGCATGAAGTTACCTTTCATTTCAAAAAATTTCCCAAGGAAAGAAATCCTACCACTCTTCTTTCTTTACAACCATTCTCTGTCCTTCATAGGAACATACTCAATTCCAATCTTTCCAACCATTTTGCCACTTATCACCTACTCTTAAACATACCTCTAAGTTAAAGTGCCCCACTCTGTCCCATTAGACCTTCCTATAATCCACTCCAACATGCTCATTATCTTCACAAAAGCATAATTGTTGAACAGAATGATAAACATGAAAATACTTTGTAATCTTTCAAGTAGTACATAGGTAACAGCCAGTATTTTTCTTTGGTAGACAATCTAAGCATCATCACAAAGAATGAACCTAAATATTCATACTCCATTCTGCTTGCTACACTTCTATTCTTAGCTATGCTAATGTGCAAGAGCTACAATTTCTTAAATGTTTAGTATCTATTGTAAAATGTTTCAATTAATACAGTGAATTATGTACCATTAGAGATTAACTACTTATTTTCTCAGGCCTAGAAAAGTGCATCTATCTTTTTAGCATTGTCTTAATTTTTACCACATATTGATAGAAAACTAATTTTCTTACAGTTTTTCATTAAATTACTTCCCTGTATAAAAACCCAATATGGCTATCAAACCATTCAATAAACTCCTTTGCTCAGTATTCAAATCTCTATAATCTGATCCCATCCATCATTCCCCAACATGTACTTGACATTCTAGACAGGCCAGTCCTCACTCATTTCTTGAACTAAACATAAAGATTGTCTTTGTTTCCACCTCTCCAAAATCTGTCTCCATAAACTTTTACCCAACAATTCTCTCCTTTTCCTGACTTCTCATAATTACTGTCTCTATAAATACTTTGACATAATTAAATTTCTTTCATTACTCAATATCTGTTTTGAAAGTATACATTTTATCAATAGATTTTTAAATTCCTCAAGATAGCCAACTCATACATTGGTGCCATAACTATATATATATCTCTTTCTATATATCTATATCTATATATTTTCATGGCATGTAGCCAAATGCTAGAAATATATTAGTTTTTCAAATAAACTTTCAAAAATCAAGCTTATTTAAACAAGTCATACAGAGTAACATTCTACCAAAAATTATTTTTAGGACTAAAGCAGACATATTACATAAAGCCTAGAACTCTTGGCATATGGGAATATTAAATTATGTTTGGATTCTGATAAAAGGCATTAATAAAGGCAGGAAAACAACGATCCTCTTATTTTTACAGATAGTACGGGCATCTTCCTGTTACAAATGAGGCAAAAGGAAGATATTTTTAAAAACAAAACTATGGTTATCCTCCTACGTGAAATTCTTTAAAGATAAATACTAAATTTTTATTTTCATTATGTATAAATATCATAAATTTCTAGGTAATAGAAGAGATTTTAGCCATATTTAAACAGTTTTAATCACTTGAGTTTTCACAAAAGCACTGCTTAAATATTACAGGTCTTTTCTAAATAATAGAAGAATAAGAAAAACCCATTAGGTAAATTTAGTAGTCTACCTCCATGACAACAGAAGATCTTCTCATCCACAATGGCGGCTATAGGCAGACAGTTGAAACAATCAGTGAAGGTCTTCCACAACTTAATATTAAACCTTCGTTTGCCTACAAAAAGACCAAGCGAATAGAACGAATACATTTACAACTGTTCTCATTAGTTATCTCACAGCCACAGGATTATGAATGATTTCAATTTTCTTTGATTATCTAGCACTGTTTTCTTCTATAATGAACAAGTGCTACTTTTATATTTTAAAAATGGTAATACATTTAAAAAACATTTACACACCTTCAGTAAAGTTACAAAGACTTCAAAGATTGTCTTAGGTGTTCTATGAAACAAATACATCGAACACTTGTCTTCTAAGATCACTGTAACATAGCAACTTTCAAAGAGTCTAATAGACTATTAGTTTATTTTTTCCATTCAATATGTATACTAGTTACATATCTAGCCAAATAAATAAGCAGAAGCAAAAGGGGTGCCTCTGGACATTGTCCATTTTAACTCTAATGCACTGAGCAACACAGCATAAATTTATTACCAAGAAAGGAGAATTTCCAAGTGCTTAACTGGTATTCACTTTTGAATGAATTACAACTTGGCACTATAGCAAGTATAAACAGAGACAGAGGCCAAAATTTTCCTTTAGTCTAGCATAAAAAGCTACAACAAAGACAATCTTCAGTGTATGTTCACCTTTTTAGTGTTACTCAATTTTTCTGAATTTGGCAATAAGTTGCAATAACCCAGGGAAGAGATGAAAGACTCAAGCACTAATTTCCTATGCTTTTTTGCCTTAACCTGTCTCTCAATGGTAAGTCTAACTCAAAGCACTGCTTGTAAGCTGTTCTCACATACATTATTTCATTTGATATAATTTCTATCCTGAGGATATTCAAGCCTGTATTTTATCTTTTAAGAATATACCTTTATTTCTGATGTAGCTTTAGAAAAGTGGTTATAGTCTAATATACTACAACCCACTTTCTGTCTGCTGGTCTGATTAAACAATTGAAACCACATATTACACCTCAGAAATAAAAATCTATAATAATAAAAGTTTAATATGCTAGTTAGACCGGACCTCCTTCAGGACGAAGTCGGGGCTGCCAGGGAACCCCGGGTCCCAGGTGCCTGCGGCAGCCAGAGGGAAGCCCGGGTCCTGGGTGCCAGAGGGAAGCCGGTGATGGTAGCCAGGGGAAGGAAGGCCTAATCTTGCATGAATTTCTTGCATTGGGCCTCTAGTAAAATGCAAGATTAGAATGTAAGCTCCATGAAAATAGTGATTAGAATACCTTACAATATCATCCTTGATAATACAACAGTACAAAAGAACCAGTCTTAAAAGAAAGAAAAAAGGAGATATTGCCCAACAAAACTATTATTAGTAAAACCACTTTGGCAATCATTGTAACACTAGAGGCCCAGTGCACAGATTTGTGCACTGGTGGGGACCCTTGGCCTGGCCTTTGGGGATGGGGCTGAAACCAGCTCTCCGACATCCCCTGAGGGATCCCGGATTTCGAGAGGGCAGTTCTCGGGTGACGCAACCCGGAATCCGGCTCCCTCCTCTCTTGATTCCAGTGCATCACCTGAGAACTGCAGCTGCCAAGTCACCACAGCTCAGCAGCTCGTGTTGAGGTCTGCCCCCGATGGTTAGTGCACATCATAGCTACTGGTCAAACGTCGGCCAGTCGCTTAGGCTTTTATATATATAGATTATCTGGTGAAGTTAAAGATATGCCTATACTTGGCCTGGCAATTCCATTACCAGGTGTTCATCTTAAGAAACGGTACTTGATGCTGCTGCCAAATCCTGAAACATTTTTGAGGGTCATAGTGATTTGGCAGTGAAATCAGTTGCTTTTTGGCTTTCTCCACTGAGGATTCAACCTTCTCTCATTTGCTAAGTAGTCACTCCAAGTTTTACTTTCTGTTTTTTCTTTTACTTGCAAGCTTATGCATTAAAATTCCCTTTCCTATTGTTTTAGGAGAGTTACAGAAAGAGTTAAAGTAGGTGTGTGTTTAATCAACAGTTTTTATTTGGAAGTTCCATACTTTTTTCATTATATATCAAGCTCTTACACACTGTTCTCAATGACTAACCTTTCTCCCTATTGTACATTTGTCATTTCTTCTACTGGAGTCTAAACCATCCAATTTTGATGTTGAAAGATTGCAATATTTATCACAAGATGGTTAATAATCATGAGGGAATTGGAATAATACTTTTTAAGGGTAATTTTTTAAGTTTTCTTTTTTCTTATGTCCTAATAATATACTTGTTAGCTGAATGGTCCTTTTGACCATTCAGTGGCTTGTGAAGAAAGAGAGAGAGTTAATACACCATTTAATACCCTGTTCATGCTTGATATACCTGCCAATTTTGGGAAGACAAATAAGGGTATAGATGATTGAATGAATAGCTGGTAAACTATATATTTGAGGCCAGTTTTCAACTGGTTAGATACTTGGGATTTAGAATTTAGGTGAATTAGTTATGAACAGTCCTTACAGTTTTATATCATTCCTCAAAGGCCCAAAGTATTGATTATAGCAACTATATCTCTAGGGCATCTCCACACTATGGATTAGGGAAGGGGAGCATGTTCAGATCCAAGCTATCTTTAGAAATGCAGCACAGCAAGAGGCTGACTGACTGGAATTCTAATATTGTAGCAATTCCAAATTGCCAGATTCTTAAAGGAGTTACCTGAGAAAACTTGACAAGCCAACAAATTCACATCAGTATTTACTTTGATGATGCGTAAAAGGTAGTAAAGTTATATTAGAGACTAGAGACTCAGTGAACGAAATTTGTGCACGGGTAGGGTCCCTAGGCCTGGCCGGCTGGCAATCAGGGTCAATCGGGGCCTTCCGGCTGCTGGCTGGGGCCTTCCTTCGTTCCGCGCTGCCCCCTGGTGGTCAGCGCACATCATAGCGAGCAATCAAACTCCCAAGGGGACACTTTGCATATTATTAGCCTGTGTGTGTAGCAGACTAGATCGAATCTGAGCCTTTTAAACATAATTTATATTTTAGAAAAAGGAAAAAATACATATTCGTGGTTGAAGTTCATAACATATAATTTGGGATGTATATTTTAAATTCAAACAGCGAGTTCTAATTTTTAAATGTATTCTTTTGTATTTGGTATTACCTTGCTGCAGAAGACCAAAGAAATACCAAGCACGCTTCCTAGAAAAAGGGAGGGATCCCGTTTATTAACACTAGCGGACTCCGGGAATAATTTCCAAATCAGAGTGAAGAAACACGCAGAGGGCTTCACTTTTTATAACCTTCTGAGGTCTTTGTCTTGCAGATATGGTTCTGCCCCCTTTCGTGGGCTTACGAGAAGGCCCCCAGGTGTTGGGGATCCCCAGGCCATATCCGATGATCTGTCCTGGGGCCAGCGATAACAACCTCCCCCCTCCCCCCATAACATATAATTAAGTAAATGTTGAATCAGTTTATATCCCTACCACTAATGGCTGAGAGTACCTTTTTCTGTATCTTGGTCAACACCAGGAATTAAGTCTTTGTCAAGTTGATAGGTGAAAAACAGTATCAATTTAATTTGTTTATTTAATAGACTGAAGATTTTTTTCTATATTTTTTCCCACTTGTATTTCTTCTTTTGTGACATGCCTATTCATATGTTTTGTTGATTTTTTAAATTAATTTGTAAAAGCTTTTTGTATTTAAGGATACTAACCTTTTGTCTACAACACATTACCCAGGTTTTTTCCCCCTAGTTTATTTTTTACTTAAGGAATCTTTTCAGTGATTGTTTAAAAGTTTTACATTATGTACTCTGATCTTACAACTGAGATCATCTGTCTTGTGCACTGCTGCATTCCCAGTGTATAGAATAGTGCCAGACATATAACACTTCCTTAAGCCTTTGTCAAATAATAATATGAACTAAAGAGATAGGAGTTTAAATAGGACTCTACCATATTTAAGGATACAGAAAAAAAGCAAAAATAGATTCTAATAGAGAACTCAGCACTGAAAAACAATAAATTTAATTTGAAAATTATTGTAATTGGTTCTAAATTGTAATTAACCAAATATATGTTTACTTTGAAATGCTAGAAAAAAACAAAAGACCAATTCAAATGTAATGGGATAGTTCAGTAATGACACTTGGAAGCAGTACTGCACAACAGCAAATCAGTGATTTCTTACTGCCAAAAAAGTACAACAAAATAAGGAAAGAATATTCAGTATCTTTATCTCTCTAGTTTATAGATATAGACTAACATCCTAAAAGAAACTTGAACTTTTAAAATAATTTCAGAGTGTCTCAATATTTCTTTGACAAAGAGCCAGTAAGATTTTGTCATATCACAAGAATGCTGAGAGCTAAAACCTTAATGGACACTAGAAAACCAGAAGCTACTGTCTGTAGTAACCTCTATTCCACTTGGATATTTTACTATGTAAGCTAATTACAAAAGGTCCTTTAAGCCAAACAAGCTGCAGTCAACCTGAAAGAGATCCCAAGGAACCAACTTAATTAGTAACATTTCCCAGTTTCAGGTTCCTCTTCCATGAAAGGCTCTCTTCTTGGGCTTATGCTTAAATGTATCATATTTTTTTAAAAAACTCTAAATTGAAAGAACTTTTTTAAAGTAGAAAATTATTAGGGACTTTTTCCATTAATAAAAAATAGGTTTTTATTTTTACTTACATTCATCATAGAATCCATAAATACGATTGATACTAGCACACTCATGGTTTCCTCTCAAGAGAAAGAAGTTCTCTGGATATTTGATTTTATAAGCCAATAGCAAACAAATGGTTTCCAAAGACTGCTTTCCTCTGTCCACATAATCTCCTAAGAAAAGATAGTTGGCTTCTGGTGGAAAGCCTCCATATTCAAATAATCGCAGTAAATCTGTATACTGTCCATGAATATCTCCTAAAAAGAGAAAAGGTCAGCTTTAGAAAATTTGGTTACTGTTGTACAATCACCTTCTATGAAATGATTCCACGTGTTTACTCCCTTGTGTAATCCTCTCCCCTTGAATGTGAGCTGTAGTGTCTTGCTTCAAATAAAGAGGATATAGCAAAAGTAAGAGGGGCTGTCACATCTGAGATTGTTACAAAAGATTGTGACTTCCATCTTGCTTGTACTCTCTTGCTTTCTCTCACTCTTGATGAAGCCAGCTGCCTTCTGGGAAAGCACACATGGCAAAGAACAGAAGGAGGCCTTTGGCCACCTGCTTATTGAGAACAGAGGCCCTCAATCCATTAGCACATAAGGAACTGAATCCTTTCCCAGTTGAACCTCGAAATGACCACAGCCCCACATGACACCTTGACTAGTCTTGTGAGAGCCCTAGAACCAGAGGGCCCGGGTAGGCTGGGTCCAAAATCCCGACTCACAAAAACTGTGAGGTGATAAATTAATGTTGTTTTAAGCAATAAGGTTTTGGGGTGATCTGTTATACAACAATAGAGAACTAATACAGTTAATCTTATTATCTGGTAGTTTAACTTAGGTCCTATTGTTATACCAAATAGCAAGACAAATAGCGAGAACTTAGAAATAGTAGATCACTAAGAAACATGCAAAATAAATTCTTTTTAAAATCCTCACCCAAGAATACATTTTTCATTGATTCTAGAGAGAGAGAAAGGAAGGGAGAGGGAGAAAGAGAGAGAGAAACCTTGATTGGTTGCCTCCCATATGCACCCCAAATGGCGATGGAACCCCCAACGCTTCAGTGCATGGGACAACACTCCAACTAATTGAGCCAGACTGGCCAGGGCCAGATAAATTTCTGCATATAGCAAATAATCCTTGATTGAGCAAAAACATATGGTTAAGTTCATAAACACTATGTCTTAATCACTAATAGCCACTACCAAGAAAAACTGCATTACTAAACCAAAAGCCAGCACAATACATTATTTATACCACTTCCTGCTATTAGATGAACTATGAACTATGGAAAAATGTTATTACTCCATTTAAGGTCTTAAGTTTTTGCTTTCGGCCAAAAGCCATTATAAGACTTAAAAGAACAAACTGTAAAGTTACATAATTTTCAAAATAAGTCAAAATGATCACAACAAAGCTAGAATACCATGAACATTGCCATATTGACACTAATTCTGTACCTTTTTTTTTTAACTTGTGCACCAACATGCCTATTTCACCACTTCCTTAACATTAATCAGTTTTGGTATTTTTTTCAATCTGATTATCATTCAGGATTTGATTTTGAATTGCATTTCCCTGACTACTAGTGAGATTGAGGATCTTACATTTATTGGCCATCTGAATTTCTTCTAAGGTCTGACTCTTTTTATTTTTTTGACTGTATAGCTTTTTCTTATTTATCTATAAGAAATCTTTTATATAGTGTGAACAGTGATCTTTTTATCTGTTGTATATGTAGCTAATATTTTGTCTGTAACTTGTCATTTCATGAAAGTTTCAATTTTTAAAATATATATATATTTTTATTGACTTCAGAGAGGAAGGGAGAGAGAGAGAAACGTCAGTGATGAGAGAGAATCATTGATCGGTTGCCTCCTGCACTTGGGTCCCCACTGGGGACCAAGTCCGCAACCCGAGCACATGCCCCTGACCGGAATCGAACCTGGGACCCTTCGGTCTGCAGGCCAACACTCTATCTACTGAGCCAAACCAGTCAGGGCAAAAGTTTCAATTTTTATAGAATTTTATAAGAGAAAACCTATTAGTCTTCTCTTTTATACAAAAACTTTAAAATGCTTTCCCTAGATCATCATCTTCAATGTAAATATGGGAGAAAGACTTAGATTCAAAAGAGATTGTTTCCAGCTTTACCCATTTACTTACCACAAATTTTCAGCGGTGCTTCCAATTCCAAAAGAATAGGCTGACTGAGAAAGATCTCCCGAGACTTGATACATAAGCCCCGAACTTCTGCTTCAGTCATCTGCACAATCTTTCCTGGACGACATCCTCGTACTGATAAACAATGAATAAATGGTCAGTTTTCTAAAATTTATCCACAAAATAATATTTTGACAGGCAGCAAACTATCAGAAAATCTGTTATGTACTATGACTAACAGTAAGGTTATATTCTATGATCTTTTGCTTCTATCTCCATTCTTGTTAGTTCTTGATGCTCCAGCAAGTTGCTACCATGGAAATGCAGCCCTCTTTGCTCTGCAATGGCTAACTTGAGGCCTCACAGCCCTAAAATGTTTCCGGGACAGCACCTGTTGAGTGTCTGGCCTATTCTCTCAGCAAAGTCTTGCATTTAATAATAAAATGCCAAAATAGCATCATTAAGAAGCTGTGGCTATGAAGAAAGGAAGATTAGGAAAAGCAGCTGTCAAGTGATTTAGCTCCACACACTTCTTGGAATATTATCAGCAGTTCCAAGAATTTTATCAACTATCACTTTATTTTCCGATCAAAACAAAACAGATTTTCAAAGTTGCCAGATATTTAATAAATTTCAATGCATTATTATATTTATAACAGGGTATTATATTAAAAATTCTATAAGCTAGTTAAATGAAGAAAAACACTTTTTTCACATGAATGAGAAAATAAAATTCATTAATAATATGGTTTCCAGTAACTTCTGAGATGGAGTGGGGAGAAATGGTGCACGGGAGTTCCTTATTTGCCCTAATGTATTGAGCTTGTAATAATTTCATTACCTTCTTCACTCACTTTCTCTTTAACCTCTAAATATACTGCTAGCTCCCATTCAATCTTAACTGAGAAGACATTTAAATAAGGAAAGCATAGGTTATGTCTTTATATACCCCTACTATTCTCCATTTACAATTAAGTCCACACATTTTTAAAAAATATTTTTATTGTTTTCAGAGAGGAAGGGAGAGGGAGAGAAAGCTAGAAACATCAACAATGAGAGAGAATTATTGATCGGTTGCCTCCTGCACATCCCACACTGGGATCGAGCCCACAGCACAGGCATGTGCTCTGATCGGGACTTAAACCATGACCTCCTGGTTCATAGGTTTATGCTCAACCACTGACCCATGCCAGCAGACTAAATTTTATCTTTCAATAACCACCTGCTACTTTCTCCAGCAAGTTCTTATCAACACCTACCTTCTCTAAAATAGAAAGGATGCCAAGAAAAAAAGAACTAATTCTACTATCTATCATGTCTGCCCCATCTTTAACATTTTAATTCCAATGGGTTCTACCCTAATTCCACACCCAATAAAGATTCACTCAAGGATACATACGAATCAACAGCAAAGTGCATTTAAATCCAGGTTTCCTATATTGCCTAAATTTTTCTGTATGATAAATGTCAATTAATTTCAATATACATGGTGTAGCAAAAGCAGTTTACAATTACTTGTGTGGAAAATAATACAATAATTAATAAGTAATAATACAAGATAACCTATAACCAAGATTACTCTATCCAGCAAAGTTATCATTCAGAATCAAAGGACATATAGAGCTTCCCAGACAAGAGAAAGCTAAAAGGAGTTCACCACCACCAAACCAATATTATATGAAATGTTATAGGGCCTTCTTTAAAGGGGGGGGGGGGGGGGGGAGTAAAGTATGAACAATAAAATGGCAATAAATACATATCTAAAAAACAAATAAGCAGAATAAAAAAAATACAAGAATAAACTCTGGTTTGTGTACTCACAACTATAAACCTACTTTTGCCCCAGCCTGTATTTTGCACATAAGTCTACCTTTAGCCAAAAAAGAAAAAATGCATAATTTTTACAATTGGCTAAAATGTGGAATTTTAGTTTTAAGTGAAAGAATTAGGCAGTTGCCATAATTTCAATGCACTTGAAGTCTGTCTGATAGGAAAAATTAATGTAGTTTCAGAGCCCACAGGTGGCCTTCAGGAGCCCTGTATAATAAACACAAATGTATATAAGATTGTGTATGTACATGAACATATATATTTTTCTGACAAGACCCCTGGCTTTCATGAATTTTCAAAGGGGTCTATGAATCATCTTAAAAAATCATTCCAAGTACACTGATAAGCTGATAATGATAAAAGGGTAAAGAAGGAAAGTAACTACCCTGGCCAGTGTGACTCAGTTGCTTGAGCATCTGCACATGTGCAGAAAGGTTGCGGGTTTGATTCCCAGTCACAGCACATACCCAGGTTTCAGGTTCAATCCCCGGTGTGGATATGCACAGGAAGCAACCAATCGCTGTTTCTCTTTCTCTCACATCGCTGTAACACACATAGGTGAGGGCTAAACAATTCAGGAGTACAGGAAGGAGTGCCCTAGCCCTAAGGTTCTCAAAGTGTGACTCCTTTTTCATTGTGTTGACATCTGCACCATGTAAAAGCAATGGTTGTTAAAACTGCTGGTACCCAGCACAAACCAAATCAGTGCTAACTGTACTATTGTAGTCACTAGTGTGTTTACTGCCATGCACTTTTAGTAAACATAAAAAAGCCCAGCTTCACTTAAGAATGCCCTTAATGAGGCAGTAAAAACAATTTTATTACATCTCCACCACTGAGTATACATCTTTTTCATATTCAGTATGATGAAAGGGGAAAGGGGAAGTAGCCGTAAAGCATTTCTGCTGCATACCAAAGTACAATAGCTGTCTCCAAGAAAAGCACTCATGTGACTATCTTAGTTTGAAGCTGATCTAGCCACTCCCCTCCAACCCCCACAGAACATCTTTTTTACTAGAAAGCACAACTGACACACTATGGTTATTCACATTTAGATATTTAACAGATAATGACAAACTATGGTTATTCACTCTTAGATATTTAACAGATACTCTTGAAAACAAAGTGTGTTTGTCATTACAAGGAAAACAACTGACAGCATTTTTGCTAATGTTACATTTCAAGCTTTCAAGTGAAAATTAAAATTTGGGAAACCTTTTATGCAGCACCATGAACCTGATGGCTTCTCCATACTTAAGGACTCTTCTAATATCTTGTTATAATATTAACAAATGTGATTTTTTTGATATCATAGAAGGTGTGAGTACATTTGAACATCTACATAATTCAGTTTAACCAGTATTCTCTAAATGGCCAATGCATATTACAAAGTCATGTGTAAGACCCATTTAAAGTACAAGATAGATCAATGAATAAACTGTTAAGAAATTACCACTTGTATATTTTTGGTATATGTTAAGGAATGCCCACAATATTTAATAGATGTCCTTAAACTTATTATGAAAAGTAACTTTGATTTCTCTAAATCTTGAACATAGGGGGTAGGATTAGGGGAAAAGTAAAAATAGTGTTAGACAAGCCAAGAAAATGTCTTGGTCAACCTGTAATTGACAGGTTGGGATCTCGGGGATTTTCTGATGAACATTCTAGGGATAGAATTCCTTTATAGTGAAAAAAAAACTGTGCCAAAACCTCCAAATTATACAGTGTCAGCACAAATGAAGAGCCAACAACAATGTTCCCACTAGATTATGCACATAGTATAAATACCTCTCCTTGTCCTTGCACAAATGTGGGTAAATTTGGGAAGGGAGAGTCCCGAGGCCAGTGATTTTCAGGAAGGTTATGTATACCCTCAGAAATCACTGTTACACATGTGAACAGTGCAGAGACAGGATAAGGACAATTGTCACTGCCCTTTAACTACTTTTTCTACTATATAACAAGTACCCACTTATACCAGAAACTGAACTTACCCTTCAACTAGGAAAGGACTAGCTACTAATTATTTCTACTTCTTTATCTTCAGAATCAGTGTGTGCACTTTTAGTCTTCTACCCTTAATTGTGGAATAAAGACTTTATTTCCATTTAAGCATTTTCATTTTATCCAACAGATAGAAAGTCTCTGTTGTATGGCATATTTCAGAGACTGAAGTATAAAAAAAAAATACTTTTCACCTACTAATAACCAAGACTTCAAAGGTAATCAATTCAGTCTGGGGGAATATGGAAGGTGTACCAGAAGGAAGAATTATGACATTTATCTCTTTCTCCTATCTTCTCTGATCCTCCATTTTTCCAGGAAGAATAAGCTGTGAAATAGCTATTTACAGCAGGTAGAGGAGCAGTGATTACTGCCTGAGGTTATAAAAATTTGTATCCACACAAAAAACAGAAGAAGATTCCACCACATCACTGCTAAGCTTCCTGACATTTACAAACCATTTCTCTTAGCATCCCTATACCCCAATCCCAAGACTTCCAGGATAACCTTTGTTTCAGAAACACTTAATGACATTTTGTTATTATTTCTAAATATCTTGACATTCTTATACACCTACATTATTTTACTTCTGTTAGAGTTGTTTAAGAATGCCTGTTATTGGGATGGATACCCTGTTAAACAATAAATGTGGAGAATAAGATACGAGAGAAAAAAGCCTATCAGATACAACTTACAAATCCTAAATCTTAATATAACCTGTCTTTAGACTCAAATGTAAATTGATGTTTAAATCCTAATCTTGGATTTAGAAATTTACCAGAAAAGCTCCAGCTCTCCTTAAATAACAAAACAGAAACACTTCTGGGCTATTCAAACTGTCAAACTTTCCCTCACCTACTGGAAGTAACTAATGGGAAAACAAACACTCCAAATTTCTGAATCAGTTAAAACCTGTACCACCTTTTATGCCTCCTCTAGCTTCTCATCCAAGGAGCAAGAGAAGAAAGTATCCCTCAGATGATCCCCCGTGCTCCCGAACCTACTCTTTTCTAACAGACTTGGCTTTGGATCTATACACACTTTCTCTGCAGAAGCTGAGGCTGCCACAAGCAACTTAACACTTCCTTCAAACTGCCTAACCTTTAGACTACTGGGTCGTAATTAAACAATTTACTCAGAAAAAAAAGGCTTTAAACCAGTGATTCTCAACCTTCCTAATGCCTCGACCCTTTAATACAGTTCCTTCCTCATGTCGTGGTGACCCCCAACCATAAAATTATTTTCGTTGCTACTTCATAACTGTAATTTTGCTACTGTTATGAATCGCAATGTAAATA